CTGCAGCTGGATGCTTTAATGCCACACTCTATAAGATTGGCTTAAAGGACAGTCCAATATGCGAGTGTGGTGATGCACCACAGACTGCTGACCACCTCCTCATGTGTACAGCACACTTACATACCCAGGATGAGGACCTAGAAAGCATCAACGATAAAGAAGTTGTGTGCCTACACAACATTAATGATGTATAGAGGGGGAAATGAAGTATACAAGAGAAGATAACCCACCCAATGCTCAGCGTGTCTGATATAGCAGGATGTGTAATTTTTGGGACAAGGCATAAAATTCTTCATGATTTTAAAGTCTGCCAGGGGCCCTAGTTCCATTTTAACATTCAATGAATGGACAGTGATTGCTTGAAAGATTATAGGGAAACACGTAGTCAGTTTTCTACAGTTATCATTAACTAAACAAACTGATCTCATGCCTCGATCTCCAACTTGTAATCAAGTTGGATCCATGAAATGCTGTCAAAGAGGTACTAGCAAAGTAATCTTGAGTATTTTGGTGTTGGGTGAGGAGTTTTTGATAAATCCTTTAACCTTCTCAAAAATGCTTAAGGAATGATCCTATATTTTCTGCAGACACATCCAATTCTAAGTTATATTTTATAAAGAGTATTTGCAGTCATGAAAGACAGAGGGCATCTTGAATTTATCTCCAACCTTAACACCTAGGATTATATTTTGGTTTTTCTAAGCCGTGGCTGGTCCTTCTCCTGCCATATTCTGGACCATTTACCGCTGGCCTTTCTTTTATTAACTATTTACTCTGACAGGAATTTACAAAGCTTCTGCTTGACCTTGGCTGCCAAGCTTGTAGTAAAACTGTACTACCTACCTACCTACCTACCCAGCATATATTCTGATCCCACGTAGAAATAAACCATAGCAGCAAAACCCAACATAAAAGTGTTGAAGAAACACATGTCATACATGACTATCAACTGGCCACTTTATAAAGGTCCTTGCTTTTACTGCATATACAGCATTTGATCTAGACAGGAGGGGTTTAAAGGTACCCCATTTCTCACTATCTGAGCACCTCACAGTCTTAATAAATTAATCCTTAACACCTGTATGTTAAGAAAGAGCTATTTATGGTCTTTACATGAGGAAGAAATACATTAAAGCACAGACCCCCAAAAGGCACTTATATGCTTACCTACTTCTTAAGAATCTAATACTTTTGAGGATTTGGGCCTGAGTGATTTATCGAAGGCCACACAGGAAGCGGAGCAGGTAGTGAACAACGGTCTCCCAAGTCTCATTTCTGCAAACTAACCACAAGATCATTCCTACTGGGTGGGAAGATGATCTCAGACAAACTCTCCTAGAGTTTGCAACGTGAAATAAAAAAGGATATATTTTAAAAAATGAAGTAATTAGTAATCAAAATAAGGTCCTAAAGTAAGTTTACTGCTGAGACAATCTGCATCTGACAAAGGTGCATATTATTAACATGGCTGGCCATAATCCAAGTTTGCTGAGCAGGTAACTCAATGCTAGTAAGATTTTTCAATTTACATCCTCTTTGTGCTTTTCTATCACTTTAAAGCTTATTTTCTGTTGTATTTTGGATTACACCACCATTTCATTCTTCATTCTTAATTTCCAATTTTTCTTTTATCTGTTTCTACATTTAGGCCCGTGGTTCTCAACCTTTGCAGAGTTGCATCATCATATGTCCACTTTTTTGAATGTGGCAACAGCCCTGAGTGAGAACCACTGTTGGTGTTACTTCATCTTACCTCAGGGCTTCTCAGCTGGATTCTGCTGCTCCAGATGAAACTGCCCCCAGTACCTGCTACACAGCCAGCCTGAGAAGGGCAGTTACACGTGTACTCCTGCATTAGGGCTCTCTGATCAGCCTAAAACAGGCAGCAGCTAGCTCCTGCTGTGTAGCCCTTCCTTATCCAGCACCCCCTACGTTCTTCTTGGAAACAGAAGTGGATGAGAGAGTTTCACCCCTCCTTGTTCCTGAGTGGAGCACAGGGGGCACTGGCCCAGAAAGGGCTGTACAGCAGGGAGCAGCTTTGCCACCTGCTTTAGACTGATTAGAGCTCTAATGCAGGGGGATCATGGGGTAGTTTTACCTAGCTCAGGGGTGGGCAATGATATTGGGGGGAGGGCCACTTACTGAGTTTTGGCAAGCTGTCGAGGGCTGCATGGGTAGCCCCATCCCTTGACAGGTGCTCTACCCCAGTCACCATCTTGTGACCAGAAGGCCCACGCCCCCAACCCCTGACCTTTGCCACCAGAAGTCCCTCCTTTATCCCTAGAAGTACTCCTTTCAGCAAGGGGTTGTCATCTCAGAAACAGAAAAATACCAAAATATATTTTAAAAAGTGATCATTTAAAACACTAATTAATTTGATTTCAAAAAATATTTTTGTCCTGGTTTA